AGTAAATCACAACACTTGAAAATAGTCTGTTTTTCCTGAGTACCTACCTATTATTCATACAGCAGATTTTTTGTCCTTTTGTGATGGTATAGAAATGAGAAAAATGAATTTTTTTTCAAAAATAAAAGGCTTTTTCTTATAATATTACATCCTTCTGTGAATCCCCAGCACAGTGTCCAATTAATTACTCGCTTGCTCATTGCTTAAGAAAAGTGAGGTTTAATGTGCCTCTGCCCTCTCATTAATAGTATCCCGATTATTTCCCGTTAGTGTAAGTACAATGATGTGCTTCTAAGAGTCCGGTATTTTAAGATTTGTCGAGATGTTATCTGGATGTGCATCTCTGTTTCATTTTGATCAGCAGGTAGGAGAGGTGACAAGAGCTAGAAGCCCGGGGTGGTACGAGGGAGAGATTGTCCTACTCACCAAACCATGCCTGCTGGTCTCCTTGAACTTCGATGGCTAAGCCAAAGTCTGCCAGTTTCACAGCTGCTCCTTTGGATTTGCTGGCTAAAAGCAAATTCTCAGGCTTTATTTAGAAAGGGGGAAAAAAGAGAGTGAAGTGAGTACCTATTTTAAGTGACTATTCAAAATTAACCACATTTTCCAAGATTAAAAAAAAAAAAAAAGCCATGCACTGTCCTCGCGCTTGGAGACGGCCGTTCCTAAACCCCCGAGAAAGTCCAGTTAGCAAATGATTAAACACTGCCATGTGTGCAGGCTTCAGACAGATGCATACATGTCTCGGAGAGGCGGGAGAGTGAATACACCGGAGGAGGGATCAAACGAAGGCGAGCACCTGTCTTGACCTGTTCACATGCTTCCCGGGCCCACTTCAGGCCTAGAGTTGGCCACAGACATGGGTTGAGAAGCCTCGCAGAGCACAGACGTTCTCAGCACAAGGAACTTGGCAAAATGTGAACAAGTGTTGGACCAATCTACAGACATTTGGCAAATGAATCTGCACAAATTCAATCTTAGCTGACTTCATGAGTTTGGGCCCAAATGCAGCGACTGGATTCCTCAATGTTTCCAAACAATTTTTTGTACCAATGTTGGTGACTTACTCAAAATTATGTATAAAAATTGCTGTCTTTAAGAATCTGTCTATTCTTAAAGGCAGAAAAAGCATACTACTATTTGCCAAATGTGATAGCAAGCTTTCCCCATGCCCCTTTATTGCCTTTCCCTTTCCCTTTCGATTTTTAAAAAGCATACCTTAGATTTCTTCAAAGAATAACTTAAATCATTACTTATATAAATCTATGTCTCTTCACATTTAAGAATTCCATGAAAAAGACACGTTTACTTTCTTGAGTCGTCAGCCTTGGGATGAGGCTGTGTCTCCTCCATTGTTTCCCAGGAGTGTACGTTTGAGACTTGGCGGTGCCTTGTGAGGAAGCACCCGGGCAAAGGCTTTAAGGCCCTGGCCCCACACTGTGTGGATTTTGAGAAATCATGGGAGAAAATAGCCAGCAAAAGGAGGCTGATTATTATATACCGTGAAGTTTATACATGACCAAGTCTGTCTGGAGGAACATATGAATACATTGGAGTCCACTGGGCAAAGGATGGATACCACTCAGCAGAAGTATCGCGAGACATACCTCAGACTGTGAGACGGTGGGAAACAATGGGCTCTACACGTGTCAAAACAAGTGTTTGAAAATCCAGAACTTCTGTCAAGCGGGTTAGTTTCATTTATAGGTTGACAAATAGCTGATCTATTTTTTTCATGGAATTGGTTATTCATTTATTTTATTTATTTTTTTTAACCGAACCAGTCAATTCTGTTGGTTGTTTTGACCTCGCATAAACACAGCCCAAACCAGCATTTAATTTACGAATTAAGCCAGCCATGCAAATGAGCAAAGACCCATATCCAGAACTTGGAAAAAAGTAGGTTAGATCTGTAAGAAATCAAAGTGTGGGCAAGTGAGTTTGAATCAAGGACCAGACTTCTTCAGGCTACTGCTGCGCACTGCCATCAGACTGAACACTGTGATAACAATTAGCCAGTGTGAGGAAACTTGCATACTTTTTCAGGGTGCATAGCATCTGAAAACTACCTCATCAGCTGAATATGAAATCATTTATTTGGTGGTTTGGGGAGAATATGAAGGAGCTCTGTGCTGAACTCACTTAGTAAACCCAACACTCCAAAGTACTTGGAACTCTGGCTGGCTATCATTACCTGTTTAGCATCTAACCATGATATACAATTAATATTTGACATTTTATTTTTTCAACAAAGATTTACTACCTGAGTACACTTTCAAAATGCGATCAAGTGTATTTTCCAGATTTTTAATTTGCAGAATAAATAACTCTGAAAAACAATCACATCCAACTAGAAGCAATGGTTCATTCTATTTCTGTGACCTTCAATTTCAAAGGCACTGAAATGTCTGCTACTATGTATCTGCATGTCCTAATCTGTCAACCACAAATTAATTTAGCAAAGAGTTCCAAACGCTTTAGAAATCACTAGTCATTTTAGGTCTTTTAAGTCAAGTGGTATTGAAGTTTGTTGAGCAAATGCCAGTATCATTTGTGCATAATTTAAAAAATGAATGTGTGTTTCTCTCTCATAACTAAATAAAAAGTTCTGGGCAGTGTTGTGTGCATTATGCCCTGAAACACCATGTATCTGCCAATTCAAAATAAATGGGACGCCTTAAATTTTTATCATGCATGAACTCTGAATGACTGGGGCAAATATTCATAACTAGAGATGACCTAGAAGACCTCACTGTAGGGCTGGGTGAGTCATCCAGGAAAATAATAAATCCATCTGGATCACTGTTTCACTTGTCCCCATGAAGACTGTTCAGCTGCAGTTATGCACAGGGAAGGCTGGGCTATTTCAAGGCAATTACAGTAGATAGTTTTAAAAATGAATAGGACTGAAGTGGCTTCATGTTTATATAAATATATGTCCTTTAGGCATGTCTAGAGTATAGAATTACAGAAAGGAGACTGAAAAATTAGGACCATTATAGACATTATTAAAGGATTTCTTTCATTATTAAATGTTTCATCCCAAATTTGCTCTTAAAGGGCCAGCTACAGAGAAACATTAAAACAATCACCCACATTTCATTTATATACAAAGCGGAATAATTTGGATAATCCTGCTCTCACATTCTGCAAGGGCATGGTTTCTCATTTTCTCAAATCACTGACCCAGACAGCTTCTAATTGAAAACCAGGGTATGTTACAAAAGCTCACTGGAAAGTAGGTTTATTTGCCTTAGGAGGGCCTACGAAGAGATCATTTGTGGTGGTTGTCTGCAAAACCTGAAAGAGAAGAATTGCTCCCCTCATCAGTGGCTATTTTCTAAGAAAAGGGCATCACTATTTTGACTGCTGGAAGCTAATGATAAGGGTGACATCAGAAGTTTAGTTCCTTTCAATACCATCAGAGTGGTAACCATGGGGAAATGACACTGTGGGACAGTGGTTCTCAACCTTCCTAATGCTGAGATCCTTTAATACAATTCCTTATGTGTGGTGAGCCCTCCAACTATAAAATTATTTTTGTTGCTACTTCATCACTGTAATTTTGCTAATGCTATGAATTGGGCGACCCCTGTGAAATGGTCATTCGACCCCCAAAGGGGTTGCAACCCATAGGTTGAGAACCGCAGCAAGTAAGGAAGAAAGAGCCAGCATGATCCTATAGAAAGACAGTGAAGGTCTGGTTCGTGCCCTAGTCCTGACAGTTATTAACTACCCAAACCTGGGCAACCCATGAGCTAATGAATTATTTCCTTCATATCTCAGAGAAACAGAGATGTTGTTGTATCACCTATAGTATAAATGAGAGTTTATTAAAGGAATTCTGTCCTCTGCACAGGTCAGTCTGTACAGCTGACCATGTCGATGTGCAGAGCACTCACTGTGGGTAATGAACGTGCAGATCTTCAGTGACGACACATCTGCCTTACATGGAATCTGTCATGTTAGTCTTCATACACTGAGACTGTCTCTACAGAACTCAGTAGAATCACTTGTGAGGTTGGTTTTTAAATAGATTCTACTGACACACACACAGGTCCCTTCCCCACCCCATTGTTTCCTAATGATGCAGACTTTTCCATGACATCTGGTGTCCGTGTCAACAACCATTTATAGCCTATCAGCTGTAATGGGCAGCAACTGTTAGCAAGTGCTTGGACAGTTCCTCACTACTGTCTCACTCAACTCACTGCCACTGGGTGGGTTCCCACACCTGGAGAGCCTGCAGGACGACCCCAGTGCTCTCATAAAAATGAGAGTAAAAAGCCTCTTCTTTCCCCTGTGGGGCAGCTGGTTGTTTTGAACTGCTGGCCCTGTAGTTAGCTGTCAGTGCGTAACCCACTCCAGAACCAGGGCTCCACTAAACCGGGATAGATGTCATAAAGTTCCTATGCATGGTGCTGGCGTAATGGAAGAACTGGAAGAGACCTGAGCGATGAGGAACTCCAAACTGTTTCGTTTCTAAGTACGGCAAGGGATCCAAAAAGATGCTCACACCTTCCTTCAGAGATCGATGTTGAGGAAACTTTACAGACGACTACAAAAATGGCCGGTGTCCAGATAGCTAGCCCAGGCATTAAAGTTTTCTTAGAAGAATGTGACATGCTCAAAAAATTTAATACTCATATTTTGAATTTGTAAAATGGGGGTAAACGGACTAGTTCAACAGGACTCAGATTAAGACACAGTTTTAGTGTTATTTCTTAATAATCCCATACATGTGTCATGAGGATTTCTGAATTAGTGCTGTCCTTTTTTAAGAAACCATTTCAGCCGTGGCCAACCAGCATTAGTCATGCCTTATCACAATTGATCTGGGCTCCAGTGTGATAACCCCCAGCCTCTGCTTTGATTCTTACTCACAGCAGCCCAGTCCTGCACTGGGTTTTCCAGCTGAAAATCTTTACAGGAGCTGACAACGTCCTCTCTCTCCTTTGGACCGGCTGGTTGGTTTCAACAGCTGACCCGTGGTTAACCCACCAGTGTTCACCTGTCGGCACCTCTGTGTGATAACGCGTGAGATACCTACAGTTACATCGTTGTTTTTTTAATGCTTCTTTTAGTTCCTAAAAGCAGCAAAATATTTTTTCTCCACATTAGTTGATTATTATTATATTCCCCCCTAAGACATTATTTTTTAAGAAATGAAAATTAGTTTGCCTTTTAATTTTTTCCTTCTATTATAAAGTCTTTCTCTATTCTTTTCAACATTGAATATCAATCTTTTTCACATATTCTTAAATTATCTTCAATTTAATAGACCATGGGTCTCATGTCCACAGGTCTCTCTCTCTATTTCTGTTTTGTTTTGCTCTTTTCATACCCAAACTTTAATTTTAACCCACTGGTTCAAAAATGTCTTCATTTCCCAAGTGCTGTGGCCGGTGCCACATTACTGAGCTTTTAAATGGGAAATGTTTACTTCATCTATTAGTCTATTGTAAGATTATCTTGCATCTGTTTCATATTAACTCTTCATTATACCTTGTTCCCTTTATTCCTAATAGTATGGATTTTGTATAGTACTAGGAGGTCTGTGTACACAGGACTAGCTTAATCTTTGGACGCACTGAACAGCATCTTACCCAAGAATTCTTATTGCTTCTGGTAAAATTATGTGGTCTCTGTACAGTTTTCAAGTCATCCAACTAACTGAATTGAGAAGAAATAATAACAAGCATGCAAAGCCTGACACTGAAGTGCTTGGGTGCAAAGCAAATCTTAATAACTAAGTAATCTGAAATAAGTTATTTCACTGAATTTTGCTAATTCTCCCCTATGTAGCATAAGTCCTTTTCTCATAAGGTTTTGTAAAGATTTGGTATTACTTGGTCCGTGGTGCAGGTTACATGGTAACTGCCTGATAGAAGACAGACATCACCATTTTGAATGTAAGGGGCTGACTTGGCATAGTGGGTTTCGCATTGGGCTTCTGCCCAAGGACCAGAGTCGTGAATCTGAACTCTAGTACTCTAACTATAGTATCTGTGTTAGAGGCCCCTAAGGAGCCCCGTGGCATAGTGGACTACACTTTGTGCTGCTAATCTAGTTTTAGCATCTCCAAAGGAGAAAGATGGGGCAGCCACCTTCCATTTATAGCTTTGGAGATCCTGGGGAAGTTCTACTCCATCCTATAGGGTCAGTGTGATTCAGAATCAATTCTACGAAAGTGTGTTTAGTTTTCGATATTTTAGAGGTCTTATACTTTTTTTCCACATCTGCCTGGATCTTCCTGGATCACTAGCCTGTCACTAACCACACCTCAAAGAGTTGTGGACCATGATTTAACTGGGTTTAGCTTGATGCACTTCTTTTATGGGAAGATACTGTCAACACAAAACTTTTCTTACTACTTATTGCTAGAGCATCCTCCAATTGTCTGTGTCTCAGTCTTATGCTGGCTTCCTGGAAATTTTCCATGAAGTGTATTTCACTGTCCAATGATCCCCAAAGAATGGCCATGATTCAAAGATGGGCAGGGATTTTCATGCTAAACAGATATGCACTCTCTATCCTTAACATCTTTTTTAACCTGTGCTGCCTCATCTGTACGTTGTAAATGTAATTTTGGTTGATCCCCATTCATTCCTAGTTTCAAGAAATCAACCTCAAGTAAAAACAGCTGCTGGTCCAGGATGACCTTACAAACAAGCTGTCTACCACCCAGAGCTCACTGGTGCCTGTGGTTACCATAACAAAACTAAGACTGCCGTGTTTTCTTCACTAATATGGTCACAAGTTAAATGATGCACATTTGTATTAGACATAACTTAATATAAGAATCTCGATTTGAGACCCAAACTATCTGGCATTGAATAATAAGGGCAACTCTTTGCTTAAAGTCTGGGAATAGACCATCAGAGCAGTTGCTCTCCTTTTTCATATTCACCTATTTAATAAATGTAAATCTGTAGTTTCCATGAATGTAGTCTTGCAGAAGAATATACACCTATGTTTACTGATAGCATTTATCAGACAGGGCATACATGGTAGATATAAAAGACACTAAGCACAGTTAACACCCCCCCAAACCACTGCCATTGAGTCAATTCCAAATCACAGTGGCCCTGGAGGGCAG